TGAGCCCCACAGGGATCTGTGCTGGGGCATTAATTTGCATCAATCACTTAGTTCAGGAGAGCAAAGGTGCTGCTATTCTTTATATTTGCTGCTGACAACAAGATAAATCAGAAATTATGTTGTGAAGAAGACAGAAGGAGGTTGCAGATACATATAGCTTCGTTAGCTGTGTCCTCACTAGTTTGTGGAAGGTGCATTTAGGAGGGTGGCTTTTTGTGCCTGCTGGTTTGTCTGTTATCTTGTACCAATTTAAATAGCATGACATCTTATAAATTAATCCTTTCTTTGTGCACTGTGGCTTAAGATTAAGATTTAAGATTATATATGGGGAGACAATGGCCGAGTGGTATTATCTCTGGACTATTAATCCAGAGACCCAGATAACACTCTGGGGACCCGGGTTCAAATCCCACCATGGCAGATGGTGGAATTTAAATTCAATAAGATATTTGAAATTAAGAGTCTAATGATGACCATGAATCCATTGCCGATTGTCAGGAAAAAGACATTTGGTTCACTAACGTCCTTTAGGGAAGGAAACTGCCATCCTTACCTGGTCTGGCCTACATGTGACTCCAGACCCACAACAATGTGGCTGACTCTGAATTGTCCTCTGGGCAATTAGAGATGGACAATAAATGCTGCCTAGCCAGCGACGTCCTCATCCCGTTAATGAATAAATAAAAAAGTGGAGAATTGGTCTTCATGGAGGATATTGATGAATTATTCTAATTATGCTAGTCTGTTAATCAAAATGTTCCATACATCAACACAAACAAAGAAGGTACTAAAATTATGTAACAGCATCACCTAATACATTAGTTGGCTAGAATAAAAAGGTAGCTCCCTAAATCAAAATATAGCCATCAAGAAAATCTCAAGACGAGCCCTCGAATAAGAAAAAATATTTTGACCCTTGTAATAGCAAATGCATAATTAATTAAAAAGTTCTAATTTTAATCTTATTCATTCAGAGAAGATGAGAAAAATGATATGGGGCAAAGATTATAACATGAAATAAGCAAATTCAACAGTGACATCAAAAGTAAATTACCTAAATGGTACTGAGTCAACAATTTCAAATCAGATTCCAGCCTCCATTTTATCAAATGGCAGAAATTTATGTTGACTCTGCTAATTTTTTTCTTAAACCTCCTCTGCACACATCTTTGTTTCTTGACTTTCACATATACCATCTTATGATTCCTTGCACCATCAGCTCTTTTGTCATTTAAATTACTCCATCCTTTCCACCATATCATGTCCCTTCCTTTTTGTTCTTCTCTCTCCTCCTGCCTTCTCTGCTTCTGAACTTGCTTAAAACATGTTACACCATTTTCCAGCTCCAAAGAAAGATTATTAACCTAACTCTCTTCCTTCCTCCACAAATACTGTATGACCTGCTGAGGAATTCCAGAATTTTCTGTTTTCATTATAAAAGGATCAGGATATCATTGCTAATCACCCCAAGCGCTAATTTACCTGAACACCCCTCAAGTAACTCAGGCATGGGTCACTCTACCAAGCAGGCAGGTAATGCTAACATTTTATAGATTAAAGGATTCTAACATCTGTGTTCAGGAAACTACTGGAAAAATTCTAAGGCACAGAATTAATCTCCACTTGGAGAAGCAAATATTAATCAAGGATAGTCAGCATTACTTTGTAAGCAGGTGATCATGTCTAATAATTTTGAATTTGAGGAGGTAATTAGGTGTGTAGATGAGGGCAGTGCTGTTATGTACTCTACATGAGCTCCAGTAAGGCTTTGACAAGGTCTCGCGTGGCAGACTGGGTAAGAAGCTAAAAGCACGAGTTGCGGGACAAATTAGATCCAAAACTGGGGATGTGGCAGTAAGCAGAAGGTGATGGTTGAAGGATGTTTTGCGACTGGAAGCCTGTGTCCAGTGGCATGTGACAAGGCTCAGTGCTGGGTCCCTTGCTATTTGTTGTTAATGATCTAAACATGAATGTAGGAGGTTTGATCAGCACATTGGCAGAAATTTTGGTGTGGTAAATGGAGAGGAGACAAACCTTAGACCACAGGCTGATATAGATGGGCTGAGCAGTGGCAAATGGAATTTAATCCTGAAAGGTGGGAGGTGATGTGTTTTGGGAGAACTAACAAGGCAAGGGAGTACACGTTAAATAGTAGAACTCTAGGAAGTAGACAGGATCTTGGCATATATATCCATAGATCCTTAAAGGTCGCAGGTAAGATGGATAAGATGGTTAAGGCATATAGGATACTTGCCTTTATTAGTAAAGGTACTGAATGCAACAATAGGGAGATTATGATGGAGCTGTACATAACTTTATTTAGGCCATGGCTGGAACACTGTGTGCAGTTCTGGTTGCCATTGTTTCATTCACAGGTGTAAGGAAAAGAGCACACAGATTTAGGCAGAACAGGCGGCTGCTCAATTCTCTGTCAAACTTTCAGAAAGATGTTCAGCAGTGATTGCACTGATTTTGGGAAATGGTGAGGAAATGACAAGGAATCAGAGGATGACCTTTGGCATCTCCCATCACAACTTACTCAATGGTGCATTACGAAAACAAACCTTGCACCTCTGCCTTAAACCATACAGATATATTGTAAGAGCTGAACCCAAAAAGAAGCACAGCTTTTTGAATTCTCCTGGGGGGAGAAAAGAGAGCATGGTGCAAAGTCAATTTTTTCCCCTCTCAAACTCATGACCTATTTGAAAGCAACCATTATGACAGCAATATTTTTCTACTTTAAAAGCTCTAGCTGACTGCCTTCCTGAAAATGTGATGACATTGAAACAAACAGTTTTATTCCATATTTCCTCTATAATTTTCTCACTTATTCTCCTGAAACATTGGTCTATATGGCAATCAAAGCAGTTGGCCAATGCGACGAGCTCCAAGATTACCTTTGCTGCATGGTAAAATTGATGCTGAGATACACAATGTCTGGTTAGATCTAACAGAGCCGACACAGTTACACAAGTCTTCATGAAACACCACTTCTCGTACCTGCTGGGATGATGAGTTCATCTCGACTAGGTCATCTGTTTCCGCAACTGGCTCACTGTCAGGTGAGGTGGACTCAACAGGAATGACCACAACAGGGCTGACATGCTCTGACAGCGCTGAGGCTCGCAGAAAGTTTGGAGCATTCTGCAACAAAACAATTGATCATTAGTACCAAATTAAAAAGTACACTGAAAGGACAGTCAGTCTATAAACACTGGAAATGGACGGGTTAACGTTTTGGGGCAGATTGTTCAGCCTGCACCCAAATATTCACTTTCTTCCTTTTTCAGGTAATTTAGCAAGAATGCAGAAAATATGGTGCTAAATTGGAGAATATTATCAATTTCATGTATTTTTTAACATTTGTTCATGGGGTGTTCTTGGATTTTAACTCTGTGACAGTGAAAGGACAGCAATAAATTTAAGTCAGAATGGTGTTTGACTTAGAAGGGAGCTGCAGGCAGTGGTGCTCCCGTGCATCTGCTGTCCTTGTTCCTCTTGGTACTGGAGGTGATAGGTTTTCAACATCCAGTTCAGTGAGAATGTCTTCCTTTAGTCCTATTCTAATTATCTGATCGTACCCAAAAGGATCTCCAAGCATGAGATCTCTGGCAAACAACTCTAGATTTATTCTGAAGTTGCCAAGGGATCCATCTTATACAACTCCTTTATTTATATCTTGCCCACTGACAAAATCTGCTCCCAGATGTAGGGTCAGATTTCACTGATGGCAATCAATTCCACTCTTCCACCACTTGCTTCAACCCTTGCAATGCATCTGTACTGCCATCGACTGTTCATTAAACATCCAGTCTTGGGTGAGATGCAGCTTTCTTCAGTTAACACGTGGAGATTAATCCCATCTTCTTAGCCCATCACAACTTTCCAACGATTCATCCAGAATTCTATTCCTTGTCTAGCCACTACCTCTCAGAACCAAACTCTATAAAACCAATCTTTGATCCCAAGCTCAGATTAATTGCTATATCTCCTCTATCACAAAACTACTGCTTGATCACTATCCATAGTATCAGTCATTCTCTATCCACCTCCCTTCCATACCTGTACTCATCACTTCTTGTCTATTCCAATGCTGACCTGGCTGTTTTCCCATCCTACAGCATCCACAATTATTCGCTTATCTAAAACTTTGCCAGTTTTTTTAATGTCACAATGTACCCTGCTCACTCATCACACTGAACCTACATAGACTCCTAGTTCACAAATAAACTTCTCACCACCATGCTTAAGTTCTTTCATAGCTTCACCATTCATAAATCAGTAACATTCTTTAGCCCAACAGCTGGAGAGGTGGTGGTATACTGGTTAAGTCACAAGACTAGTAATACAGAACTCAGCTATTGTTCTGGCGGTGTGGCGTCTGTTCTTATTAGTAAGGGGACAAAGAGTAACGGAGAGAAGGCAGGAAATTGGGGTTGAGAAACAAAGAACATTACAGCACAGTAACAAGTCCTTCAGCCCACCAAGCCTGTGCCAATTCCTAACACTTATTTAGGGCCGCTACTTACTACCCATACACAGAATGTATCCTTTTGTTCGTATATCTCTCTCTCTCCCCTTCAAAACCCCTAACTGTTTGCGTGTCTATCAAGATATGCCTTAATGGCTGTTAACATGCCCGCTTCCACCACCTCTAATGTCGGTGTGTTCCAGGCACCCATCACCCTGTGCGTGAAAAATTTTCCCCGCACTTCTCCCCTAAACTTTCCCCTTTCACCTTGAACCTGTAACTCTTGTAGTTGACCTTTTTACCATGGGAAAAAGCCTCTGACTATCCACCCCATCTATGTCTCTGATAATTTTGTAGACCTCTGTCAGATCGCTCCCCAGCCTGTGTCTTTCCAATGAAAGCAATCAGAGTTTATCCAACCTCTCCTCATACCCAAAACCCTCCAGACCAGGCAACATCCTGGTAAGCCTTCTCTGCATCCTCTCCAAAGCATCCATGTCCTTCTGGTAACGTGGTGACCAGAACTGTACACAATATTCCAAATATAGCCTAACTAAAATTTTACACAGCTGTAACATAACTTGCCAACTTTTATATTCAATGCCCTGGCCAATGAAGACAAATGTGTGCTATGCCTTCTTGATCACTTTATCCACCCATGTTGCCACTTTCAGGGATCTGTGGACCTGTATGCTCAGATCCTCTGTATGTCAATGCTCCTAAGGGTTCTGCCTTTTTTTTAAAAATTCATTCATGGGAAGAGGGCATCTCCAGCTAGGCAACATTCATTGCCCATTCCCAACTGCCTAGACGGCATTTAAGAGTCAACCACATTGCTGTGGGCCTGAAGTCACATGTAGGCCAGACCAGGTAAGGATGGCAGTTTCCTTCCCTAAAGGACATTAGTGAGCCAGATGGGTTTTTCCGACAATTGACAATGGATTTGTGGTCATCATTAGATTCTTAATTCCAGATTTATTTTTTATTGAATTCAAATTCCACCATCTGCCATGGCGGGATTCAAACCTGGATTCCCAGAACATCATCTGGGTCTCTGGACTAACAGTCTAGCAATAAAATCACTCGGCCATCGCCTCCCTTTATTGTATTATTAGCATCTGAAGTTGATCATCCAAAATGCATCACCTCGCATTTGTCCAGATTAGACTCCATCTGCCATTACTCTGCCCAAATCTGCAATGTATCTATATCCCACAGAATCCTTTGACAATCCTCTTCACTATCTGCAATTCCACCAATTTTAGTGTCATCCACAAGCTTACTAATCAGACTATCTATATTTTCTTCCAGATCGTTTTTTATAATATTACAAAGAACAAAGGTCCTAGCACCGATCCCTGCAGAAAACTTTCAGTTACTGACCTCTATTCCATGAAACACCCTTCCACTGCTAGTCTCAGTCTTCTATGACCAAGCCACTTTTGTATCCATCTAGCCAGCTCACACCAGATCCCATGAGACTCTACCTTTTGTACCAGCCTGCCATGAGGTGTCTTATCAAATGCCTTACTAAAGTCCACGTAGACAACATTTACTGCCTTGCCTTCATCAAGCATTGCTGTCACCTCCTCAAAAAAACTCAATCAAATTGTTGAGACAGAATCTGCCCTGCACGAACCCATTCTACCTCTCACTAACAAGTCCGTTCATTTCCAAATGTGAATAAATCCTGTCCCTCGGTATCTTTTCCAACAGACTCCTCACCACTGACATCAGGCTTACTGGCCTGTGATTACCTGTTTCTCTACATTTCTGTGTTCCTTCTTAAACAAAGGAACAATGATGGCCATTCTCCAGTCCTCTGGAACCTCACCTGAGGCCAAAGAGGATGCAAAGATACCTGTTAAAGCCCCAGCTATTTCTACCCTTGCCTCCCACAATATCCTGGAACAGATCCCATCTGGCCATGGGGACTTAGAATCATAGAATCATCATAGAATCCCTATAGTGTGGAAGCAGGCCATTTGGCCCACCAAGTCCATACCGACCCTCCAAAGAGCATCCCACCCAGATCCACCCACTATCCTATCTTTGTAACCCTGCATTCCCATGGCTAATCCACCTAACCGACACATCCAGCGACACTATCGGCAATTTAGCATGACCGATTCACTTAGCCTGCACATCTTTGGACTGTGGGAGGAAACCAGAGCACCCAGAGAAAACATACACAGAGACAGGGAGAATATGCAAACTCCACACAGACAGTCCTCAAGGGTGGAATCGAATCCAGGTTGCTGGCACTGTGAGGCAGCACTGCTAACTACTGAGCCACTGTGCTGTTCTAGACTTGTGTACCTTCATTCATTTCATGGTACCCAATACTTCCTCCTTCACTATGCTGACCTGCTTGAGACTATTCACACACCTTGCCCTAACTTCAACATCCCTCACATCCCTCTCTTTGGTGAATACCAACATCAAGTACTCATTAAAGATCTCACCCATTTCCTCTGGCTCCACACATAACTTCCCTCCTTTATCCTTGAGTAGGCCTACTCTTTCACGAGCTACCTTCTTGCTCCTAATATATGCATAAAATGTCTTGGGATTCTCAAGCTCTGCTGGGCAAGGACATTTCACTCTTTTAGCCCTCCAACCTCCCCATCTGAGCTCCTTCCGACTTTCTTTATATTCTTCAAGGACTTCGTCTGTTTTTAATTGCCTAGATGTAAGGTGTGATTTCTTTTTTGACTAAGCTGATAACTTCCCCTGTCATCCAAGGTCCCAAATATTGCCATTCCTGTCCTTCACCTTCACAGGAACATGCCAGTCCTGCTCTCTCATCAACTGGTCTTTAAAAGACTCAAATATCAGATGTGGACTTACCCTCAAATAGCTGCTCCCACTCCACATTCCCCAATTCTTGCCTAATTCGTTCATAGTTGGCCTTCCCCTAATTTAACACCTTTATCTGAGGTTCACTCTTGTTCTTATCCATAAGTATCCAAAAACTTAGGGAATTGCCGTCACCACTCCCAAAATGGTGCCCCACTGAAACTTTGATCACCTAGCCGGGCTCACTTCCCAGTACCAGGTCCAGTATGCTCACCCCAACTCATTGGACTATCCACATACTGTTTCAAAACACCGTCCTGGACACACCTAACAAATTGCTCCCCATCCAAACCCCCGGCACAAAGGGAGTCCCAATCAATATGAGAGAAGTTTAAATCACCCACCACAACAACCCTGTTATTTTCACATCTTTCTGGAATCTGACTATATAGCTCTTCCTCTATCTCCCGTTGGCAGCTGGGAGGTCTGTAGTACCTCACTGGGACTGCCCTCTTTCCCATTCCTGAGCTCTACCCACAATGCCTCACTGAAAGATCCCTCCAGGGTGTCCTTCCTCAACACATTTGTGCTGTGCTCCCTAACCAGTAATACAACATCCCACCTCTTTTGCTTTCTCCTCTGTCTCATCTAAGACACTGATAGCCTAGAACTGCCTTTCCTGCCCCTCTTTCAACCATATCTGTGTGACAGTAACATCATAACTGCATGCATTGATCCAGGCTCTAAGTTCATCCATCTTACCTGTTATACTACTTGTATTGAAGCAAATACAGTCCAAGCCTCCAGTTCCGCTGAGCTCAGTCACCTCTCCCAGTCTGCTGTTCCTCTTATCTATATGTGCCTCAAGCTCAAG